TGTCTTGAGCAGAGTTCAGTGAGGTGTCTTGCAGCTTCATGGAGGTCTTGCTATTTTCCAGGAGCACAGTGTACATTTTGTGGTCATCAGTTCTATTCTGTTGTTGGATTACATGGCACAGTACAAATTAAAGAGTAGAGTACTTTAAATGGGGTCATTCATTTCAGATGTGTTTCTCTGGGGGGAAAAAGGAAAGAAAAACAATGACTATGAATTCCTGAATAAGAACAGTTACTTCTGCCTGCAATCGTATAAAATTCAGAAAGAAAGAAAAAGAAATGACCTTATGAATTTGCTGCAACTGTATCAAATGGTTCTAACTAATCATAACAAAACAATCAAATTTTGTTGCCTTAGCGGGCACTCTTTGAGGTAGCTTTCTACTCATATTTTGACGCAAGTACAAAGTATACAGAATAATATGGAAATGGAGCAGGAGATTAATATCTGCTTTGGGTGTGTAAAATATTTTATGACTGTAAGATGAGGGGCCTGCATTACAATGCCAAAACTGCTTGACAGATGTGAAAGTCTCAAGCTGTCGTTTCTCAGGTGGCAGTGGATGGCAATAAGTATCATTTGAGGCAGCAGGTTGCTTCCCATTGGCTTTCTAAAATAGGTGGAGCGCTTGATCTCTTCTAGTCATGATGGGCAAGGGAATTTTTCTTTGGCAGAACAGTCTTTTATCTGTGAAAATGAATTTCAGTATACAGTAACATTTTCAGAAGCACCTAAATAACCTTTGATACATGGTGCAAAATCTTCAAGAATGAATAATAGAATTTAAGAGGGTTAAGGTAAGTCTATACTGAATTTGCAGGTAACTGAACTGGTGTCAACAGTGTGGAGCTCAGTACAAGCTAATGGATCCTGGCAAGGCAGTAACTCCCATGCAGATATTTTCCTGGCCACATACCTGCCTAAGCTTACTTTCAAAAATCTTTTTTTTTTCTGTTTTATTGAAACAGCTTTTTGCACAGAACTCTTATTGCTTCAGTTATGCCTATCACACTAACATTTTGCAATAAGGTAGTCTGAATTAGTAGACTGTCCTTCAGGTTTAACTTCATGCACCCGTCATACTTCTTCTGACTAAGAAAATTGCTAACCATTTCTAAAGCTACTACAACAGAAGTTACTAATTTTTCCTTGTCTGGAGGCCTGTATCACATGTATACTGAATTAAGATTTGGCATTACAGGGTACTGAAACATTATTTTGTTGCAGACTCTTTTAAAACTAAGATAGTTAGTAGTGGCTAAGATACTGAATATTCTCAGCACTTTATGTTGTGAGATGTAATCAAGAAATGTACAGAAAAAAACAGGTTCCCTTTGTTTCTGGGAGTTTGCTTTGTTTAGAGTAAATGACTTAAGCCATACAGTTTCTTTTTTCCATAGAAAGCAATTACAGACAGAGGTTTGCTTGTATGCTGCTTTTGCAAATGAAATTCTGTTTAAGAACAATATTGGTCCCATCATAGCACAATATAAGTAGTAGAGCATCTTGGGTTTGTGACCTGCTTGGCAGGAGTCTGTTTTGTCTTCCCTCTCCTTATGAAATCTGTCAACCTCTTTCTTCTCTTCCCTAGAAGATATCCATCTTACTCCTGGGAAGAAGGTGGAGTCATAATTTTGGTGACAGTTTCTCCATTCCCTCCCAGGTCCTGTTCCTCACACATTTTCTTCCTCTTCAAAAGTCCTGTGACTTCTTTATCACAGTCCTCTATTGTGAATGGAGGAAAGGAAGGATGCGAATACCCTCTCATTTGTGCCACTTCTCATGCCGTTGTGGCAGATCACAGACCTGACTACTTCTTGATTTGGTTCACTTCTCTAACTCTCAGTTCTCCTGTACAACATCAAATTGCTTCATTCATCCCACTGCCAACTCTTTCAGATGCTCTTCCAATATTCCTGAACTGCTACCTTACTGTAATTGTATTGCCTCTTATAGAGCTGTGGGTCTGAGATGCTCACACAAGGAAGTGCAGCGTATGGCTCAAATACAGGAGCTGACATTGCTGTTTGTGACAGAGTAATATGCTCATACGTCAGACAGGATATTTTTGGATTGATTTGCAAAAGGACCCTGTACTCTCTACTTAGGAGTCCCATGCAATTTACCCATAAACAGACCATTAAGCATCATTAGTGCAAAGAATAAATGTACCGTAGTTTCATATTAATTAAGTGCTCTCTGTAGAGTAAACTTTGAAAGTTAAATGAAAATTTTTAAGTCATTTTCTCAGGTTAGCTGTTTCTCTTAGGGACAAGTAGAGCTCATTTTTAATACACATTCCATAACCAAAGCTTAGATTTACCCAACTGACCTACCAGATATATGGGTATTTTAGAAAAACGATCAATAAACTATTAAACTGCTTCTTCCACTGAACAGCATCTTTTAATTTTTTTTATCATTTTTACATACTTGGGGAAAAAACCAACAAAATATGTAAAGTGAAGGAAAATAATGTCTAATAAACTGTGAATGTATTTATCACACTGGGCAGATTTAGATGGAAAAGATAGAGGGATCTGTACACAGTGCATCGTTAATTACTCCTGTCAGAAAAGAAGAAATACTCTGTATCTTTTCTGCTCCAATTTTTGTTATATCCTCCAGTGCTCAGAGCACAGCAAATCTATGCGCTAGATTCTTTTGGGATTTGTTAGTAAAATATATATATTCAAGCTGCCACTTGAAATAAGCATGATTCAGCCATATTTTTTTTTTTTTTTGTGAATATTGCTTGGTAACTATTGTCTATCTCATATTTACAGTACATCTTTCCTGCACATTTAGGTACACCAGAAAGCCTGGCAGAAAAAGAGCGACAGCTCTCTACTATGATCACCCAGCTGATCAGCTTACGGGAGCAGCTCCTGGCTGCCCATGATGAACAGAAAAAGCTGGCAGCCTCACAAATTGAAAAACAACGGCAGCAAATGGACCTTGCTCGCCAACAGCAAGAACAGGTGAGGCTCCAAGAAAGAAACCTGTGAAAATGTTTCATGCAGAAAGCTTATCGTAAACACTGTTCTGCTTGGTGTTTCCTTTCATCTTTTTTTGATAAAAGAGCATAAATGTCTTCAGAAATTATATCTTTTTCCAGAAAGAGGAAATTTATAAGACCCTGAGAAAAAAAGTGGGCATGGACATTCAAATAATTTCTTTCCTAGAATAAATGGCATTTGATAGATTTCACAGTTCTTGTTTCTTGCACTGAGATGCAATTTTGGGAGTTACAAATAAGCCAGACTATAACCATTATTTGACTCTCTCTCTTTTTGACAAGAAAATAATTGAACAAAAAACCTTAAGCTTCCTCAAATCTTCAAATATCTTTTACAAGTAAGGTTTGATTTGTTTGTTTGTATTGGGGTTTTTTTTGTTGTTGTTTTGGTTTTCTTTTTTTTTTTTAAAGATGCAGCCATCCAAAGAGCTGTCCTTTTCTCATTGTACAAAAGTGTAACAAGAGTGATCCCCTACACTAGTCCCCTGGGCATTAGATCAGACAGATTCAAATTAATGTGTGGTTTTTAGGAATCTGACATTATTACTAGAATTATCTTTTCAGTTAAATGTATTTTATAGGATATATACAGCAATATATGCTCTGTTGATTTTAATGAGTTGTGACGTCTGGTATTTTATGTGCTTGAGTATTTGCCCACATGTAGGAATATGGACTCATCCCCTAATGGAAAATAACATAAAGGAACACTGTAAAAAATCAGAAGTTAGAATGTCATTTAGCCATCCAGAGATGACACAGTAATTAACTATTGACACTTGTGAATAAGCTAGCACAAATTAATCTTGACACATTTGCAGACGAGTGATATCTTACAGTGAACACTTTGTAATTATATTTCAAAATGAAAATTAAATGACACTTAAAACTAGGTTGTCATGCTCAATGAAGCGAGCATGTAGCTCAACCGATAGGCAAATAAAATTCAGAATTTCAGCCACATGGTGCTTGTGTACCCTACTTTACTGTGTCAAGCCTATACATCAAGAGTATGCTATGGTAATTGCATTGCGGGGTATTGGATACATTTTCTGCCACAGTACTGTTCCATCTAAGAGGAACCACTGACGTTAGATGCTGCATGGTATATTTCTGGTTTTCATCAGGAAATGGCTATTCAAATGGTACTATATTGTGCATACAGGTACAAAAAGCTGTTGTTCACAGTCTGAGCTCCGGTAGATCAGTGCCTTTGCACGTGTAAACAAAGACCTCATCCTTGCCTTGGCTGTAGCTTACCACATTAAGTAGCAGCCAGGTCACCAGCAGCTCAAAACAGTTCTGGACATAGGATACTGTGTAGCGTGAAAAAAGATGCAGCACTCTGAAGGAATGACCCCTGATGCAGCTCCATGTGGTGTCTGATTTCAATGTGAAATTACAAATAATTCCTTTCTGAAATGGAATATCATGATAATCTTTCTATTACCTTCACTGAGATTTTAGCAGCAGGGACAATGTGGACGTAAAACCGACAGAGCTTATCTTTAGTGACAAGCGCTGCACTTCTAAGGTGGACTAGCACAATTGGTGTGTTACTCATTACAAATAGTAAGTCAAGCACTCATACAGGTTTTTAAATATATCTCTGTAGCACAGTTACCATTAGAGTTGCTTCTCCAAGCATAGACACTGCTGTTGACTGCTGATCTGACAACAGATGACCTCAGGCCCTAGGAGCTGCCCCTAGGTTACCTGGGCACGCAGGCAGGTAGCTCTGAACTACCTTTTTTGGTAGGAGACCTGGGCCTGCTTCTTCAGTCTTCATTCACCACATTTCTATTGACTTTACTGGGAGATTTATCCAGAAATGTTTGAACGCCAGGCTCTTAAAAGGGAGTTTGATCACTGTTACAAGCACCAGTGTAGTGAGCTCTGATAGTTGCTTGACTCCTTTTCTGCACAGCACTTTGCCTTGGTCCAGCCCCAGAACCACATAGACCTCAATTTGTCTCTTTGAGGCCATATGCAAGACTTAAAATATGTATGAATTTTGTATTGGTCTCCCATATAAAAGTGAATTTTAACTGTAGCAGTGAAAAAAATGTCAGAGCTATTTCCAGGTGACAAAGAGAGATTGAAGAAATGACAGACTTATCTCCGTGTGTGCACAATTACAAGCTGTTAATATGTAACTGCAGATTCCTTAGGAGTTAATCTGAACAGTTTGCACCAAAACTATGTGACTGTTTATTTCCAAATCAACCTTGCTACATTGCTGTAATTTTTTTATCATAAAAACATTTTACTTTGCTTTCTCTGTTTATAACAGACAGACTAAGCATGCTCAAAAGGAGACCAGGAGGGGTTTTGCCAAAACCAAAACAGTGGATTTGAGTGACCAAGCTACCTTTGCCACCAAGTTTTTGCTGTTTTATGTGGTTCCTCTGCTCCAGATAAATATTTATAGGAGGGGAAATTATACTTAAGAAATGAAGGTAGTAGAAGTGCTGAGGCTGGGGTTTCCAGGAAACACAAATCTTGTCCTTGTTTCAGTCTGCTGTGTCCTTCTAAAGCAGAAGTCCAGTTGTTCCCCCAGCTCCCTGCAGCCTCTCCCCTGTAGCTGCAGTCCCTGTTACCCATTGCAGGGAGCAGCTCTGCAGTCTGAGGGCAGGATCCTGTTTCTCTTCCCCTCTTGCTTGCTGATTTTGGATGGTTTGTGGGAACTGGAAGTGGGTGTATCTGGGGCACATTCTCTCTTGTTAGTCTCTTAGTGCTCTCTGCCCTGAACGCTTGCTTCTCTCCATCTGTGTTAAAGAAGGGATGTAGCGATCCCTCCAGGTCCCTTACTGAATCTACTAAATGAGGGTAAGAATAACTACATACTTCCCAGGGTTGTGTTGAGGATGAGTTACTGAGCATCAGGTACTGCTTTTACACAGAATGAGATCTTAGTTCCTTGGGTAGTTCCGAGGAAGTCTTTGAGATTTCCAAGAGCAGTAATGTGCTGCTCATTGTGAATGAAGTTAGAGAAGCATGCCCTAGGAGCTTGTGCTGAATAGCGAAACATCTATAAATACTAGCTAAGGCTCCAGTTCAGCAAAGCAGGAAAATGTGTGTTTAACCTTAAGCACCTGAGTAATCCCATTCCCATTCAGCAAAGCACTTAATTTTAAGCATGTGTTTCATTCCCATTGTAGCTAACAGTAATGCATCATAGTCAAAGATCACCACAGGCTTAAATGCTTTGTTGAATAGTGATGAGATTATTCACATGCACACAGCTAAACCCATGTTTCTGTGCTTTGCAGAGTTGAGGCCTAAGTGCTTAAAATACATATTTCTTACTGGCTAACTGGACTTTTATGTTGCATTTAAATTTAAAATGTTTGCATCACATATGCAAGATACCTCTAAAATAGCCTTAATTTTTTTAAAACATAAATTATGCCTAATAAAAATATAATAAAGAATAATAAGATGTTTTTCAGTCATAATATTGAAGTTTCAATATTACCGTTTTAATTTAATGGAAATTTTATTCCTAATAGATTGCAAGACAACAGCAGCAACTTCTGCAACAGCAGCACAAAATCAATCTACTGCAGCAGCAAATTCAGGTCAGTGTGTTTTATTGCTCTCTTCTGATTATACTTAAATTCCATTTATGGAGAGGGAAGGATCTAAAATAAAGCAGCCACATGCTTTACTAACAAGCCTCAGTAAAGATGTTCTTTATGGAGGGTCTTTGTGCCTTTGAAAATTATTGTCATACATCCTTTTGGCGGAAAGAGCTTTTTTTTAATAAGCAGAGTTTTCTTCTGAAACTTATGAACTGTTTCTTAAATCTTGTCATTTAATTTGAAATCTGCAATCAGTTTGACTTGCATCGTGTGAAGTAAAAGCAGACTCTCAATCACTGTTTCTAGAATTCCCTATTCTACAAAGGCAAAATTGGCTTTATAGGAAGATTAGAAGAACGTTTTCCATTTCATTAACTAAAGCAAGCAGCTATAGAATAGGGTAATAGACACTAGGTCAGTACTAAATCCCTGGGACCAGGGATGCTCATGTACAAAGACCTACAGGTATATATGTCCCATGTACCTTTGGAGTAACTGTACCTTCGTGGATCTGGGGGTGTTCTGGAGGTACTCAGAACCTGGTTTAACTCTGTGCAAATACATGCAGGTAGGGAGTGACATGTAGGTAGAAGCAGTGTTGACATCTCACCTTCTCTGCTTCCCACTTTGTTTGAAAGCATTTCATGGGCCTCTTCTTTCATTTAAATATTTCGTTTGGTCCGACAGATGATTGTGCTGCCAATCATTTCTTATAAGCTTGGAGTGTCATTTTTTTCCTTAATCAGCTGATTGCCATGTTACTAGATGCCCAAACTGAATTTTTTCTTTTCCTCATCCCAAAGGAATGCTTGTAAATGCTTTTGCAAATATTGTAATGCAGTTTCGGTTACACTTTAAAGAATTTATTTAACATGCATAAATGTGTTGATACCTGGGATGAGAGGGACAATTGAATTTTAAAGCACCAGTGTTGTCATTGCCTATTGGAAGATTGCATGTTCATACTAGGTGTACATAAAGGATGGAAGAGACATAAGAATAGTGAAATGAAAATTGCATCATCTTCACTAAGTGTTATTTGCAAGTCTGGCTTCCAAAAACAAAGATTCATGTAAAAAAAAAATCCTTTACTCAGCATAAAAGCTAAGAATGAAACATAACTGAGTCTGCTAAACAGAACAGTTATTTGCATGAGGAATTTCTAAATTTTAAATTCCTTTAAAAATTAGGACACAGAAAGAGGAATGATGACCGGGTAGTTTTTGTTCCTATTTGGAGAATGTAGGTATGTTTTATGGGGAAGTATCCTGCTCTGTAGGAAAAAGTTTACAGCTCACTCAATAGTGTCCAGTAGCTTTACTCTTCCACTGACTCTGGGGAAAAAGTGGTCTGAGAATTGGTTGCAGTTCATTTTAGAACAGGTTGCAGGCTATTTTCTTGTTCATTGACAATTTTCCTCTTACACAGTGCTGAAGCCCCCACAAGTTTTCTTCTGCGTCCTTTCCTAAACATATATACAAAGTGCTTTAATGATTGTTCTGTTCATGTGAGCTAAAGTATTTCTTGGTGATCCTTCACTATATTTCTTTCAAAATTCTTGCCAATGTGAGTTATTCTTATTCCATAGTTCCTCAGTAGTTTGGCTTTATTTATCCTTATTATTTACATGAATCTCATCAGTGTATTTGAGGCAGCGAGGACTGTTTCCTCTCCCAGCTTGTTAACCAGATTGGTAGTGGGCATCTCATTGCCCAAGGAACATTGTAGACTCGAGTATGAAGCACTAGACATGTTGGACAGATGCCATCTCAAACATACATTGATCTTACGAGGAGATTACTAAAAAAAATTTGTTAGGAGATTGTTTCCTAGGGTAAACACCAGCTTACATAGTCCATTTGCCTGTGAACCAAGTGGTTCTTCTTTGTTTATTTGTTCTTTCTTAATTCTGTGGCAGGTTTGCTAGCCAGGAGTTGCTTGGGAGAGAAGTTAGTTGCTAAGTTGCCTCTGCAGTTCTTAATAGGTTTGTTGCTGTTGAATTGATTGCAAGTGTTGGAGTATGCTGAGACCTGTAGCACGCTAAGGGCTATAGGCAGGATTGAGGTAAACCAGGAGGCAGGTGAGAGATGCAGTGGTGTGCAGGTTCTCCCAGGTTCCCTCCCAGCATCTTCCCGGGAAACCTCAGTACCCATACTGAAGTCACACTGGTGAATCTGGGTGGGATTCATTGTATCAAAAGTAGATAACTGCAATGTAGACTCTGTCTCAATTAATTAACCAGACTGTTCTTATAATGAACAGAGAGAAGCAGAGTGAATAGTTTTAGGATACAATTCATCTTGTCCTGAAGTAGACATTTAAAATATGTCAGATGAATTGTTCCCTAAAATGGCTGTTTCCCTCCGTTAGCTATAAAGGATACAGGTGCTGACGCCTACAGTGTAGAGGTCTGAAGTGAGATGAGGTGAATCCCACTTTCTGTGGCTTGGGGGGAAAAACCAATTTTCTAATAAATGTTTACATTCTCACTTTAGTTTTTGGGCTTGGTAGAATTTGGAACTGCGTCCCCAGTAACTTACTTGATTTTATTCAGAAGGTGAATTTGTTTAAAGATGTTCTTGAGCAACCGTTTTCAGGAAACAGGGATCACTTATATAAAATGGTATGGATTCTTATCTGTACTTTGTATGCATGGAGAAACAATAGCACTCTTCCCTGCCACTCCCCTTTTAAAGAGATTACAACATATAAGTAGCACAGGTGCCAGTTCAATCTGGGCATGGGCCTATTCATGGCACAGCTACTTGAAAGAAGTACAGTATGTTCTCTAGGATGCAGGAGTGGGGCGTTGCTGATGCAATGTTTTCATCACATGAGACACACAGTGTACCACTGTCATCTTTGGAGGTACAGTGTTAATTCTCAATAATTTCTGTGAATAAGTGCATCCGGCTTATTTAACCATTTAAACAATAAGAAATTACTTTAGATGGGGCTTACAAGATTTCTGTCGACCACATATAAAAGTGTAAATAACCCATATTAAATAAAACACATATTTCCCTGGACACCTACTGGGATAATTTACAGAGAATTTTCAATATTTTGTATTTATTACTCACAATGTTTTGTATGTCTTTTGGTTATTTAATAATTTTAACACCTTATTTCATTTAGTTGGTTGTTTTGTTTTTAAGAGCATTTACTGGAGCACCTTATTCCAGACTTGTTCTACATCCAAAACTTTGTCAACAATCTGTGAGTGAACAGGACATTAGCTAGGCTTAGCATATGAAAACAACATAGGTATTTCAAGAGTACTGAGGTCATTAAATGTTCTGCATCACCATCTCATGTTTTCTAAGTGAAGCTAGTGTTACTTTCAGGGTGTGCATGTTGGGAAAGCAGTTTTGTCTGTTGGCTAAAGGGAATGGGAATCTGGAGTTGTTCTTGGTTCTGTCTCAGATTATCTGAAATTTGGCAAATTGTTTCCTGGCCCTCAATTCAAACGTAATGTTTTGAGAATCTTAAATGAAAAATTTCACATAAATGCACTGTATTATTACTTTTCAGCTCAAATGTTCATAATGTTCATAAATACTCTTCTACAGAGGAGTCCATAGAGATGGGAGGAAATTTGTATGCCAAATTAAGTGCTTCATTCTGCAAAGCTGTGCAGAGAAATCATTGCTTTTAGTGGAAATAAAGTTGAGAAAGTACTATAGGACAAGTAAGAGATCACAGATCAGTCTCCAGGTTGATTCAGATTTTTTTAAAAGAACTTTCTTTTTTGTTTAATAAAAAGTATTCATTCTTGAAGTAGAAGGGACGAAATGAGACTATTTCAAGGATATCTCAGCCTGTGCTGTGAAAGTGAAAACTCTAGCAGTAAGGGAAAAAGCTGTTTAAAAGGAGGAATTTGGTGGTGCATCATGAAGATAAGACTACATTGGAAGAAGGGAAGGCTTGCATCTCTGGAATGGGTCCAACGTTGAGAACCGCTTGAGGGCCTGAAATCCCTGTGAATTCAGTGCCTCATTGCCAGAATTCAGTCATTTCAGAATGAGGCTTGGGGATTGCTTCTGACTCCACCACCTCTGGGTGAGGAAGGGATTGGATCCCACTGAGCCTTGGAGCATGTCGCTCCGGGATTTCCCTCTGGGGGGGTGGATTTAAGGGATGAAAGTTTGAGGGCTTCCCCTCTTCTGGTGGGCAGGCTTTGTTAGGGTGGGTCCTAAATTGTGGCTGAAATCTTTAAAATGGACACTGGTTGTTGAGCTTTTCTGCTAAAACTTGCAATGGGTATTACAGTGACATCTGATCCAAACTGCTTTTGTCCCATTTCTCTTCACCTTAATCCTCTGTACTATGCTCAGTGACATTGCACAGCATTTAGTTTTCTGTTTGAATCAGTATGATTTCCATTGCATAGAAAAACTGGCTGCTTCTCCTCTCATAAGTATTCTGTTTAAATTCAACCAGTAGAAATTATTCCTAATAGTAATTTTTTCTAGTTTTCATCTATACATTCATGCTGTTGTAGTTTCATATTAATGTTCTTGCATTTTCTATTTCAGTCAAAAAGAGTGAACATGATTACTGTGATAGTAAACAAACAAAAGAATAGTAACATAAAAATTACGACTATTTAAACTGTCCTTGAACAGGAATCATTAGAATCATACTTAAAACTTAAGAGGCTGAACCAATGAGTCTCTCTTCTTATCCATGATTAACTACTGACAATTCAGGTACCTGGTGAGCTGAATAAGGACTATCTCTTTATGTGAAGTACATGTCTAAAGATCAGGAATAATTACATTCCACATTAGCCTTCATGGCCTCCCTGACCTGGTTAATTAATTTTTTGCTAGGATAATAATAGTAGAAATAGATTTAAAGATATGCTTTATCATTAAGTATGTAACTGACCTCCAATTTTAAGAGCTGAACCTTTCATTTATTGCCTCTTGGAGACAGGTTAAAGCTCCTTGCAGTGAGCTTGCTGAAAATGCGCAAGTTGGAGTGTAGTTATT